GTTAGTAGTCGTACGTAAACTTTAACCTTACCTTACTTACTACTACACTACGGTCGTTACTTGGGTACGTAGTACTACTATATATATATATATATATATATATATATATATATATATATAATGGGAAAACTTTTTATGTTCCCCTACAACATAGATGTTCTAACCTCCTCTTATCCAACCGTCCATTTTTTAATGGAGGGCTAAGATTGCCCCAATCACAATATCACATCTCTACACTGTTTTTTTTTTAATTTTTTTTCTATAAACTGTTTTGATACCAAATTTTGGACGTTTATTCCTCCATCAAACTCGTACTAACGAAAAATATAAAAAAAAATATTTTCAATAAAATAAAATGACCAAATTACCCTTCAAAACTTATTTTTATCGAAAAATTATTGTTAATAGTTTTTATAAGTGTGTCCGAATGAGAAGATGACACGTATCAAATTTCATATTCAGAAAAATTGTATTAAAAAAACTAAAAATAAAATACTTTGAGATGTTGGATCTAAGATTAAACCGTGAGTGGCTCTCTTGATAAAAAATGGACGGCTGGATGGGAGGGGAGAATAGAACTTCTACATTGTATAGGAAGAATATAAAAAGTTTTCCCTATATATATATATACATATATAATTATGAGGGATTCAAATTGAACCAATTGAGGAAATTGGGATTATGATTTTTGGGGATTCAAATTGAACCAATCGGGGAAGACTATCATAGAGAGAAATTGGGATTATAAAAAATCAGAGATTTTGCAGGAAGCTAGAAACATGGTTTAGAACACCACTTAAATATTCTTATTTTTAGGGTGTGTTTGATAACGGAAACTTACTTCCTAAAAATTGGAAGTTACCTCGTTCATCTTTTACGTTATGTTTGATATAAAAAAGTAAGATAATAAGGAATTTCCTTTTTACTATTCTTCTTGCCACTTTTATTCACAAAAAAAATGTTCCGTGGAAAACAACGGAACTTGAAAAGGGCAGATTATTCACAAAAAAAAAAAAAAATACTTCCGTGCGGAAGATTTGCCCCCGTGAAAAAAGCGTGCTCGCTGCGGTCCACTGCTCGTGCCTAGGTCCTCTCTTATGCCTCTGGCTCGTGTGTTCTCTCTTATCCCCGACCACCTCAATCTTTCTAGGGCTATCACACCTCTGCACTCTCTCTCTAGAGCTGTCACACCCCTGCACTCTCTCTATGCACTAGGGCTCTCCTCTCTCTCCTGTGTTCTCTCGCATCCCCGATCGCCTCAATCTTTCTAGGGTTCTCACACCTCTGCACTCTCTCTCTAAAGCTCTTACACCCCTGCACTCTCTCTCTGCACTAGGGCTCTCATACCTCTGTACTCTCTCTAGATAGAGCTCACACCCCTGCGCGCTTTCTCTGCAAATCCCTCTACTCCAATTTGGGTTGTAGCCCTCATTTGAACCAACTCTCGTATGATCATGTCCTCACTCTTCAAGCCCTTGAAGCTATTTCAGGTATGTTTTTTATGTTGTTTTTAATTTTTCTCATCAATCCAAAAAGGATTTGGATTGATGGGTTATTGCAGAAGATTTTTTAGATCATTTTTTTCTTTTTGGGTAGATTATCTGTAAATGATGGATGTTTGGGTTTTTGGTTTGTTTTTCACTTGTTATGATTTCTTATCAATTTTGGTTTCTCTCTCTTATGTGCCCTTGTTTTTCTGTGGTGCTCTGATTTTAATGCTTTCTCTGTGATGCTTTGATTTTTCATGTAACATCAGTAGCTCTGTAAATCTCTGCTTTAAGCTTTTTTTATTTTTCATTTACCGTTTCTTCATTCAAGATCTCTGATCAAATGCTCTACAAACCTAGAACAGTATCTGAACGTTGATATTATTGATCGAATGTGGTTGACACTATTGTAATCAATGAAACTTTAGAATTTAGATCAATGGATTGATTGTTTATGACTAGTTGCTGTTCCTTCTTAGGAATGCACAGTAATTCTTACTCAAGTAGCTATTCCTTCTTAAGGATGCAACTTGGAGCATTATTGTGGTATGCTATTGTTAGAAGGCACTGCTTTCTCTTCCAGCAGTTTAGCAGTGGAATTCAGAACTTGGGGGTAAGAACCAAGTTGCTTTGAACCTATGTTTGTTCACAGGATTGCCTTGTGAATACCAACAGGAACTGGAAATCTTGCCGACCAGGTAAATGTCTTGGCATCACAAGCTTAATAGAGTTGGGGTTATGAATTTAAATCGATTTTAGGGTATTATTATGTTTCTTTTGTTGTGGTTTTACTATTTTATTGGATTGACTTGGGTTGTTATTTGGTTTAAGCAATGTATCTGGTTTAGCTATTTTGATGGGCTTGGAGTTATTTGGATGATTGTTTAGTGGAATTGGCTCCTCTTTGGGTGTTACCTTTCTTTGGATTTTTGATTTGTAGATGAAATCTTAGTTATTCTTTTCATTATTTCCTTCTTGAATTCACTGGAGCCATTTGGCTTGCTTTTCATGGCAGAATTGATGTGTAGTTCACATAAAACAAGAGTATACAAAGTGAATGGTTAAATTCATCTCTAAAACAGCTTCCATTTAATTCTTTCAAGTCATTTACTTCATTGGATATATGGAAGTTCTATTGGGTACTTTTTTTCTTCTTTATGTTTTAATGTTGTTACTTTGCTTATTAAATATTGTTAATTATTTGTATGATGAAAGTTTCAATTGCTATTTCAAGGATAAATAATCAGGGAGCCATTGAGAGCCGAATGGGCCTCCATGACCTTTTTGTCTTCTCAATGGGAAAACATCCCCTGAACTTCATCTCCTAAAAAGCATCAGCAAAGTTCACAATCTTGTTGTTGTTAATCAGAATAAAAACCATTTTCAGTACATCTTATGGCTTGATGGTTATCTCATTGTATACAAGGTCCCCTTTACCCTTGTGTTTTTGCTATCAAGTTCTTTTTTTGCGATGGTATGCGAATGTGAGATCATAGTAGCATGTATTGTCGATCATTTGGGTAAACCTCATGCGTCAAATTACTGAAATGCCTCTCATTGTTCCTTGTTCTAAATATTGGACAAGGGTAATTTGGTTATTTTTAAAAGAGTTTTTTAATGAAATATTTGATTGAAATGAAAAAAAGAAAAGAAAAATGTATATCCTCAAATGTAAGTAGGGATAATTTGACTCCTAAATAACATTTTAAGGGTTTCATCCCTTTTTATGATATATTTTGAAAAATTAGTGATTTGAAATGTATCTTTGAACCATTTTTTAATAGTTCATTTTTCTTTTTTTTTTTTGATAAGATAGTTCATTTTAATTCTTTTAAAATAATTCATATTTGAGGTTTAAATTCATATTTTTCCAAATACAGAGCTTGAGATTGTCGCCTCAAGAAAAGTTTCTACCTAGAATCCATGTCTAAGACGAATAATTGGTAGGGGGACTTAACCTGGACGAACACAAACTCTTTCATGGGGTGAAGAGCTGATCGTTAGAATCAAATGAGGAGCGATGGTCTCTCACATTCTTGTGCCTTTTCTCTCTCATTCGTGAACCAAAAACATTTGTTGGTTAGGAGGAGGTTGGTAGTTAGGGCATCATCGGATTTTGCGATACAAGGTCGAGACCTGAGCTTCTCTGTGACGACGCTTCAAGGCAAAGTCGTGCCTGTGCTCAATCGTTGCTCCATCACCATCCCTGAAGGCCAGCTATGGATGCTTCTCGGTCCCAATGGGTGTGGCAAGTCCACCCTTCTCAAGGTCTTTCTCTTTCTCTACCATCTCTCTCTATTGTAAAACTCTGGTGAAAACTCATGGTGTTAATTTGATTTCTCTCTCTCTTTTTCACTTGCTTGGAGCCCGTATGTGATCATGTTCACTTGCAATTTCCATGGGTAATCTTAGTTTGGTCCAGAACAATTTCGTTCCTTTTGATTTGAGAACTCTTTTGGGAATTTTATTAGATGATTTCCACATGGTTGGAGAATTTTATCTGATAATTTCCACATCTTGCAAATTGTTCTCTGATATCTGAAACTTGGAAAGTGCAATGCATATTTTGGATTAAACTTAGAGGTTGATAATAAATTAGGAGTTTTTAGGAGTTTCCTTGACCAAGGATTAAAACTCAATAAATGGCAAGACAGTTTCATTTGAATGTTGACTAGGAGTTGAAATTCAATAATGGGTGGGAGTTTTTGAGTTAATGGTTATTAATTTGGGAGTTTCTTGACAAGGAGTAAATGTAGGATGACTATGGAGGTCTATATAAGTGAGAGTCATGTGGGAATAGAACAAGCTTGAGAATTGGGATTGTTATCTTGGAGGATTACCCCCTCGAAGTGGCCTGTAAGCTTTTTCCTTACTGTTTCTCAATAGAATTCTGCTCTTATAGTTGTTTTCTTGCTCTCTTATTCTTGGGATTTCTTACATCTGATATCAGAGCCAGCCCTTGGCAAATTTTCTCAACTATGGCCGAGGGAACTAGATTGCAAGGAGTAAAAAAGTTATAGCAAGAAATGAAACAAATTAGAGAAGGTTCTATGGAGCAATCACGAGCATTGGGAGAGATCTGGGTTCTCATAGCAGCCATGGATCGAAAATATGACCAGATTTCAACGCTTTATCAAAGTTTCAAGAAGAGGTCTTGACCTTCAAGTCACCTAATGAACAATCTGGATACTCGGGAAGCTCGCGTCACATCTCTATGAACAGCGGTGCAATATTCCCAATGCATTCACCACATGTTGAATTTTCGTGATTTGATGGTGAGGATCCAACGAGTTGGGTGTATCATGTGGAGCAGTTCTTCACCTTTAACCAAATTCCCGAAGAACAAGAGTCAATTTAGTCTCTTTTCATTTAGAGCATGAAGCAGTACAATGGTACCAATGGTACAAAAGAACCAATGGCCATCCAACATGGCGAGATGTTGTCAATGCTCTATACACCAAGCTCGGCCCTAGCCAATTCGAGGACTTCACTGGAGCCCATATTATGCTACATCAAACTTCCACTGTTCGTGAGCATCAAACTCAGTTTGAGAGGTTAGCAAATTGTACCATTGGCCTTAATGATGCATTTTTTACAAGTTGCTTTGTTAGTGTGCTTAAAGAAGAAATTAGACATGATGTATGCATGTTTAAGCCTAAAACCATGCTGGAGGCCATTGACTTAGCCTGACTTCAGGAGGATAAAATAATGGCCCAACGCCATCAAAGTAAGGAAATTCCTCCTAAGATAAGTGGAATCCCTGTAGTCGGTACTCCTACACAACATACTACTCCATTAATCAAACGGGTGATGCAAGCCAAAATGCGAGATAGGTGAGAAAGAGGGCCATGTTACAATTGTGATGAAAAATATAGCCCTCAACATCGATGGAAAGATCAAAAGCTCTATTTGTTGGATGGAAATACCATTGATGAAAACAAGGCAGAAGAAGAGGGAGATGACTAACCTGAGCACGAGGAAGATAACCCTGAAATTTCAATGCATTCCCTAGCTGGGATCAATTCGCCCCAAACCATACGAGTTCAAGGGTACATAAAGAAACAATCAGTCACCATACTCATTTATTCAGGTAGTATCGATAACTTTATCGACCATAATATCACAAAGCAAGTTGAACTTCATATTTATCCATGTGAAAATTTTGAAATCATGATAGTTAATGGTGGGAAGTTGGCATGAAAGGGTAAGACCAGGAATGTACCCTTAACTATGGCAAACTACCACTGTAAGTGTGATATGTACTCTCTACCATCAGGGGGCTGTGACATTGTTTTAGGGGCTCAGTGGCTAAGGACACTAAGACCCATTTTATGGTACTTTTTTGAGTTGTGGATGCAATTTACTGTTGAGGAGCAGCAATACACCTTGCAAGGGGTACAAACCAACATAATAAAGATAGGCAACTCCTATTGCATGGAGAGACTAGTTTGCAAGGGGTCTTCGAGAATGGTGACTCGGTTCTTCTCCTTGTTTGTGAAGGAGGAAAAGATGGAGGAACCTGTGGTTGCTTCGTTGCTTGAGCTATATATGGACCTTTTTGAAGAACCAAAGGAATTACCTCCCCAACCCTCCCATGGCCATTCAATTCCCTTGATTCCGGGAAGCCGACCACCAAATATTCGGCCATATCAATATCCATTTGTGCAAAAGGCTGAGATCGAAAAGCTTGTCCAAGAAATGAAGAAGGTAGGCATTATCCGCACGAGTGTTAGCCGGTATTCATCACCAGTGCTCTTGGTCAGAAAAAAGGATGGCTCATGGAGAATGTGTGTAGACTATAGACCATTGAACACAGTCACAATCAAGGATAAATTTCCTATACCAGTGATTGATGAATTACTTGATCAGCTCCATGGTGCTCGATACTTCTCCAAACTTGTTCTATGATCTGGATACCATCAAATCCGAGTCAAGGAGGATGATATTCCCAAAACTGCATTTCGTACTCATGAAGGCCATTATGAGTTCCTAGTTATGCCCTTCGGGCTCACCAATGCTCCATCAACCTTCCGGAGTTTGATGAATGAGGTATTCAGACCCTACTTACGAAAATTTCTTTTGGTATTTTTTAATGATATCCATCTATAGTACCACTTGGGAAGACCACTTGGACCACTTGTCTTGCACTCTTCAAATACTTCGAAGGAATAACCTCTACCTCAAGCGCTCTGAGTGCTCATTTGGGCAGCAAGAGGTTGAGTATTGGGGTGGTCACATCATAGGCAATGGAGGAGTCGAAGCAGATCCTAGAAAAATTGAAAGCATGGTAAGTTGGCCTGTCCCTAAAACCATTAAAAGTTTATGTGGTTTCTTGCGACTCACTGGATATTATAGGAAATTTTTCAAAAACTATGGAAAAATTAGCTCTCCTCTCACTAGTCTACTAAAATAGAATGCCTTTGTATGGGCTCCAAAGCCAAATTGGCCTTTGATTCTCTAAAGAGGGCAATGAGCACAACACCTGTATTAACCTTGTTGGACTTTTCAAAGCCATTCATCATAGAAACGGATGCCTCAGGTACAAGTATAGGTGCCTTACTCATGCAAGAAGGGTGACCTTTGGCTTTCATTAGTAAGGCTCTTTTTTTGTGAGAAAGGTTAACATTGTATTTTCATATTGTATTTTCATTAGTAAGGCTCTTTGTCGTAAGAATTTGGCACTTTCCACATATGAAAAAGAGATGCTAGCTATTATTCATGCAGTTACCAAATGGCGGCCTTACCTGATTGGGCAATGATTCACTATTCATACAGATCATCAAAGGCTAAAATATTTCTTGGAACAAAGAATCTCCACTCCAGAGCAACAAAAGTGGGTGAAACTTATGGGCTATGACTATGATATTGTGTATCGAAAAGGGAAAGAGAATGTTTTGGCTGATTCCTTTTACGACAATATGAAGAGGCACCACTTTCCTTGCAATATCGATGCCTCGAACTCAATGGATGGAGGACATTAAGCAAGAATGGGCAGCTGATGAAACTATAAGGAACCTCATAGATGATCTCCAAAGAGACCCCATGTGCCTCCCATTGTAGGTCGTTGTACTACAAGGGCATTAAGGAAGAATGGGCTAATTATAATGGGAGGGAAGGGTCGTTGTACTACAAGGGCAGAATAGTGTTGGCACCTACTTCCACGTATAAAAAAATATTGTTGGAGTTACATGTGCCCCCCATTGTAGGTCATTCAGGATTCCTCAAAAAATACACGAGAATCCTAAGGTCTTTTTATTGGAAGGGGATCAAGAGAGACATAAAGAAGTATGTGGCAGAATGTGATGTGTGTCAGAGGCAAAGGGGGAGACCATTGGGCTGCTCGGATATTACAACCCCTTCCCATTCCCACACAGATTTGGAGTGATATATCAATGGACTTTATTGAAGGCCTCCCTAAATCCCATGGGAAGACAATTATCTATGTCGTAGTGGACCGCTTGAGCAAGTATGCCCACTTCTATACCCTCGCACTCCCCTTTACAACTGCCTCAATAACTCAAGTTTTCCTTGACAATGTATTCAAGCTACATGGGTTGCCTGCGACAGTTGTAAGTGATCGTGACCCTATTTTCTTTAGCAATTTTTTGGCGTGAATTATTCCGGTTACAAGGAACACAGTTGAACATAAGTTCGGCTTGTCATCCTCAATCAGATGGCCAAACTGAGGTGGTAAACAAATGCTTGGAGACTTATTTGAGGTGCTTCACTTCACACCAACCTAAACTGTGGTCCATTGGCTGAATGGTGGTACAATACTACTTACCATCGCTTCACTAAAATGACTCCCTATGAGGCAGTATATGGGCAACCACCACCCACAGTTACATCCTATGTTTTGGGTACCACCAATGTCCTGGCAGTTGACTCAGAATTGTGAAGCCGCGACAACATCTTACAATTTTTAAAAGAAAACTTGCACTTAGCCCAGAATCGTATGAAGCAACAAGCTGATAAAAAACGAGTGGAAAGGGAATTTCAAATAGGGGACATGGTTTTCTTAAGGTTGCAACCATGTCACCAAGTGTCAATGGCAATTCATGGGCCTAAGAAGCTTGCTCCGAAATTTTACGTGCCTCACAAAGTTATTGAATGCAGTGGCAAGGTCGCTTATGAGCTGGAGCTGCCAGAATCATCACCACTATTCCACGTATCATGCCTTAAAAAAGTGGTTGGGGCGAATGTAACTGTCCAAACTGAACTTCCCCAACAACTAGAAGATGAAACACTTATTTTGGAGTCCTTAGCTATACTTGACCGTAGAATTCGGAAGCACCAAAACAAAGCACTTACCGAAGCATTGGTGCATTGAAAGGACATGGAACCTGAGGACTCCACTTGGGGGAAGTGGTCAAGGTTCATTGAACGCTTTCCCAACTTCCAGCTTTGAGGAAAAGGCTTGCCTAAGGGGAGTGGAATGCAATGCATCTTTTGGATTTAACTTAGAGGTTTTTAATAAATTCGGAGTTTTTAGGAGTTCCTTGGCCAAGGATTAAAACTCAATAAATGGTAGGACAGTTTCATTTGAATGTTGACTAAGAGTTGAAATTCAATAATGGGTGGGAGTTTTTGAGTTAATGGTTATTAATTTGGGAGTTTCTTGACTGGGCGTTTCTTGACTAGGAGTAAATGTAGGATGACTATGGAGGTCTATATAAGTGAGTCGTGTGGGGAATGGAATAAGCTTGAGAATTGGGATTGTTATCTAGGAGGATTGCCCCCTCGAAGTGGCCTGTAAGTTTTTCCCTTACTGTTTTTCAATAGAATTCTGCTCTTATAGTTGTTTTTTTGCTCTCTTATTCTTGGGACTTCTTACAGAAAGACATATGAAGGAATCCACATAAAATTTGGTGCCTTGATCCAATGATATTGTGAATAACGACAGATTAGCCAAAGGTGCCAACATATAGGAATATCTATTCATCAAAATACTCCTGAATTTTGTTCAGATTATTGTTGAACGTTGTGATTATTTTTAAGCAATCCAATGGGACAGCCAACTGTTGTGTCGTTCTTTGCAAATTTTAGAAAAACTAATATTTGAGATTTTAGTTTTCTCAAGGGTTATTTTTGTCTTCTTTAGTTGTAGAGATTTAAAAGGTAAAATAGTAAAATTCTTTATAGGAGCTTTTAGGATAGATTGTTATGAAGATATGGTTTCTATTTTTGTGGGGGTTGAGGTTGTTTTCTTTTAATGGGTTGATAAGGATCATGAAAAGAAAAATTTAGGAAGAGATATCAAGGCTATTCACGTGAGAGAAGGATATGGAGAAGAGATTTATATGGAAGTTACAAAGAGAGATAAATGGAGAAAGAAGAAATTTACATGACTTTTAGAGAGAGAAGGAAAAGATAGTACATGAAAGTGAGAGAGAGAGTTTATTTTTCTTGTGGTTTTTTTTAATTATTTATTTATTTTCTTCTAAGTGCATTTAAAGGGAAGAAGTCCCTCATTATAAACAACAGATATTGAAATTGAGTAAAGTTGATCTTGTGTTTTTGAGGTGGCTTCCGTTGTATACCTTCGAGAGAGTATATTCTCTCGAACTTTTATTTTATTTTTATTTTTTGGTTTATTGTTATTTTCTCCCTGCATCAGTTGGTAGCAGAGCAAATCCAGCTTTTTGTAATGCCACCGAAAGCTAATCTTGCTATGGATGATCGCCTCGGACAAGCTTTAGAAAGTTTGACTAAAGTCATAGAGGTTGTTTGTGAAAGTTTGACCAAAGTCATGGAGGATGTTCGGAGTGAAGTTCGTGAAATGAATCAACGGCTACAACGGTTAGAGAACACTATTCTTGGAGAAGATGGTGCTTGCAATTACATAGATCTGGTGCCAGGTTTTACTTGAAAAAGATGGTGCTTCCCAAGTTATATGAGGAACTTGAAAAAGAAATTATTGAGCTCGAGATCTTTGTATTCTACTTAAAGCTGAGCAAAAAGTATTTTATGAATCAGTTTATTGAAGAAAAAATGCCGAGGCGCATGGTGGGACTACATCACCAATTATTCGATAATAATTGACCTCTAAAGGATGTAAGCTCAAGGTCGAGCTTCTCCCAACCCCGGGAGAATGATGCAAATAAAAATCGCGGTTTTTTAATTTTTTTTTTACATTTTTTTTAATTTTAAAAAGTGTTATTTGTTTTCTTAAGGGGTTATTTTTGTCTTATTTAGTTGTAGAGATTTAAAGGGTAGAAAGGTAGATTATTTGTGGGAGTTTTTTAAGATATATTTTCATGAGGATATAATTTCTATTTATGTGGGAGTTGAGGTTGTTATCTCTTAATGGATTGATAAGGATATCATATAGTGAAAAATATAGGAAGAGACATGAAGGCTATTCACATGAGAGAGAAAAGGGAGAAGCGATAGAGAGAGATAATGTAGAAAGGAGATTTACAACTCTTAGAGAGAGAGAAAAGGAAAAGATAAGACGTGAAAGTGCGAGAGTTATTTTTCTTGTGGGTTTTTTTTAGTTATTTATGTATTTTTTTTTCTAGGTGTATTTAAAGGGAGGAAGTGCCTTATCTTAAACAACCGATATTGGAATTGAGTAAAGTTGATCTTGTGAAAAGATCTTTTTGGGGTGGATTTCCTTGCAGACCTTGAGAGAGGGTATATTCTCTTAAATTTTCATTTTATTATTTTTTTCTTGGTTATTATTATTTTCTCCCTGCATCAGATTCCTAAACTGTTTTGTCATTCTCCCATAAGTTCACCAAAAATTTGTCCATCTAACCATAGCTTGAATGATTTGATGAATATGTTTTAGGGTGCCTTTCCTATTCCTTTTTCTGATTGATATGATCTCCCCCTGGGCTTCTTAAAGTATGTTATTTGAGAAATCTATTGAGTATACTAGTCTTTAAGCTTTTGATTTTGAGGATTGTATAGTGCTTCTATATTGTAATATGTGAGTGCAGGTCCTGGCAGGCCTCCTAATTCCAACTGATGGAGCTGTGCACATTAAGAGACCCAAGAGTTATGTTTTCCAAAATCCAGATCATCAGGTGCTTCATGCTTATTTTTTTTGCATTGGGTTTCTTTTGGGAACTGCTAATGTTTCATACATGGATTTTCTATGGAGCTCCATTAACTTTGATTTGAAGTTCTCTACTCTTGCTCATGAGTTGCAGTTTAAGATACTTTGATTATTGAGAACTTCATTTCCTTGTAAGTTAGTAGCAGTAAAGTTCATTCCTGGATGTTGTATTACGTGTTTCCTATCTGAACGTTTTGTCTTGAGTACTAGAATTCATAAAATAAATCTACTTTGTATGATAAATCTCAATGTTTTAAAAACGGTCCGCCTGGCCGCCTACTAGGCGGCCTGGACCAAATATCTGAAGACTTAGACCCAGGCGGCCCTACACGGGCGGATGTACCTGGGTGGGCACCTAGGGCCGTAAGGCGTCTTTTTTTTTTTTAAATCGTCCGAAAAGGCAAAGGGGTCATTTTGACCCCCAAGGTTGTATAAAAACGTTATGGGGTTTATTTTTAACCCCCAAAGTGAAAAGAAAAAAAAAAAAAAACTCTCAATATATGAAAACCCTCAAAAGTGAAAACCCTACGGGGGGCTTGAAGTTCTGGGCGCCTGCCTAGGCGTTGGTCGCCAGGTAGGCCGCCTAGGGGTCTCCTAGCGTTTTATGAAACCTTGATAAATCTCCCAAAGTTGGATGGTATTTGTGAAAAGACAATAAAGGTGTGTAAGTGTAAGAATTACTGACAACAAATTTATGGAAGCTTAAGAGTTAAAAAATACAATAAAGCCAAAGCACAAAATATAAACATAAAGTGCAAAATGAAGGACTAAAACACAACAGATTAGGATTTATAGATGTGATGCGAGATGAGATTGAGGTTGGCTCCCAAGAATCAAGAGGGGGAAAGTGGGGTCTAAATATTTCTTGACTCCATCATTTCCGAGGTGAATTTGAAAAGAATGAGCATATGTATGTAACATATACCTACATCTGTAAGCATCTTTATAAAATCCTTAGGCAACAGAAAGGATCCATCCATATGGGGCAAAGCTCACAATACACTTGAATTTGATTTCGTTGGAACCCTCATGAATGACAGCCATAACTAGGACATGGTCATATGATGATGTACCTATTTTGGATTATCATCATCATCAACAACATCCAGGCCTTATTTCACATAGGCTGCATGGATCCTGTTCTTCCATTCTTCTTTATCAAGGGCTATACCCTCAGTAAGACCAAAAGTCACAATATCGTCTCTCACGACTTTTATCTATGTCCCTTTGAGCCTTCCCCATGCTCTTTGAGAGCTTTCCACTTGAACCAAGTCTCACCTCCTAACTGGTGCTAAATCTACTTTTGCTCATCTTACTGTTTATTGAAACCACGCTCAAGTTCTCTCGTGTGTATTGATTCCAAATTCTATCATTTTTGTCTTGTCATTCATCTATCTCAACATCCTCATCTCAGCTAGGTTCATCATATGAATGTTGTGTTTATTGACTGCCCAATGTTCCATCCCATAAAGCATGACTGGTTTTACGGTCGTCCTATATAGCTTCCCCGTCAATCTCAATGGTATGCAACAATTACATAAAACCTTGGATGCACATTTCCACTTTGCCCACCCAACTTTAATTTTATGCGTGACATCTTTCTCAATATCTCCATTCTCATCTACTCTAGATATCGAAAACAATCTCTTTCAAGTATTTCTTGACTATCAATCTTAACTACTTCTTCGTTTCTACTAAACTTGCATTCCATAAATCATGTCATAATCCGGCTAATTTAAAAATCTTTAGATTCTAGAGCATCCCTCCAACATTCTAACTTTGCGTTGATGCTACCTCTAGTCTCATCAATCAAAATTATATCATTCGTGAACATTGAACAACATACGCCATGGTGCCTCATGTTGTAGGTCCCTTGGTTAACTCGTCCATAACCAAAACAAGGAGATATGAGTCATTGCTAACCCATGATATAGGCCCATTATCACTAAGAACTCACTTATCTCCCACTAGTTGACCGCACTAGTTAGCGCTCCTTCATACATATTTCTCGCTATGTCGATATAGCCTTTGGTGACTTCTTTCTTTCCCAACACCCACCAAATTAAATCTCTAGGTACCCTGTCGTATGCTTTTCTCAAATCAATAAAGATCATGTGGAGGTCTTCTCTGTTTGCCCTAAACTTCTTAATCATTTACCTGAGCAGGAAAAGGGCTTTGATAATTGACCTCTCTAATATAAAGCTGAACTGATTTTCTTACACTAGTTTCACGCCTTAGTCGTTGCTCAACCATTCTCTTACGCAGCTTGATCGTGTGGCGCATAAGTTTAATCCCTAGATAGTTCATACAGTTTTGTACGTCTCCTTTGTTCTTGTAAACAGGTATCAATGTTTTAAAATGCGGGATGCAGTCGAAAGCTGGTGGGGGGGGGCGGGGGGGCTGATGCGGTGATGCAACTCGATGCGTCCTGGATGCGGGGGCATTATGTCGAAGCAATCAATAAATATAAAAAAATTCCAAAAAATCTAAAAAAATTGGTTAATGCATAGAAAAAAATATGGAGATGATATATATGATGGTAGATAGTTTATTCATTAACTCTAAAATTATTAGCTGTCGGAGATTTTGTATCCTCTATCCCCTGATAGGAACTAGAAAATTGAAACTAGCTTCATAAAACATTCAACAAACAAGTATCAATTTCTTCACGGCCCTTGAAACCCTCAATTTGTTTTCACAAGTTCGTCTAAATTTCCTTAAATCAACACCCAAAAGATACAAATCAACAATCAAGCATCAACAAATGCACAAAGTGAAGAACTTCAACAAATAAAATATTAGCCCAAACTTTTTTTGGATTCAATCGATCCAATAAAAGCCACGGATGTGGCAAAAAAATGTTGTTTGGGGGTTTAATACCTCCCAACCCTTTCTCCCCATTTTTGAAGGTCAAAATGACCTTATTACCCCTGTCCGAGTGGTACAGTTTAGAAAAAAAATGGTAGAAAATTATGCGGTGAGATGTGGGATGCGGCTCAGATGTGGAGAGATGCGGTGCATATGCGGGCGCATCTCTCCAAACTGCATATGCAGGGATTCTTGATGTGCTAGCGATCGCATAACGCCTGATGTGGCTACATATGCGGCGATTTCGCTTCATTTTAAACAGCGTTTTAAAATGCAGCCGCATCAGGTGCTATGCGCCACCCAGCGCATCGCACATATGCGGTTGAAAGAGATGCGCCCGCATCAGAGCCACATCGCTCCGCATCAGAGCCGCATCCCGCATCAGGCCGCATAATCTGTCTGCCATTTTTTTCAAAACTGTACCCCTCGGGTAGGGGCAATAAGGTCATTTTGACCTTTGAAAATGTGGGGAAGGGTTGGGGGAGTATTAAACCACCTAAACGGTATTTTTCAGCCACATCCATGGCTTTTACTAGATCGATTGAATAAAAAAAAATTTTGGGCGAAAAATTCATTTGTTGAAGTTCTTCAATTTGTAATACAAGATACTACAAACTAAATGTCCATAAAGATTAAAAGTTACAAATCGAAGAACTTTTCCCAGTACTTTTCAAATAAAATTTGTAAATTTAAAGAGTTTCATGGACTAATACAATAAAGTTACAATTAATGAGTTTATAAAATTTATTGATCTTCATAAATGCTCTGATATCATAAAGTTACAACATTTTTATAAATTTATAAAAGTTTGCAAATTGAGTCGAAGAACTTCATGGACTTCATAGACTCTTTTCAAGATTAAAGAGTTTATAAAATTTGTAACTTTAAAGTTTTTGGTTGCAGATTTGTGCTTAATATTGTCGATGGTTGAATGTTTTATGAAGCTAGTTTCAAGTTTCTAGTTTATGTCAAGAGATAGTTGATACAAAATCTCTGACAGCTAATACTTTTGGAGTTAATGAATAATCTTAATACCTACTATCACGTATATCACCTCCATATTTTTTTTTATGTACAAACGTTTTTTTTAGATTTTTTTTAATTTTTTTATATTTATGAACCGCATCGTCACGACGCACCCGCATCCGGACCGCATCAAGCCGCATCGAGCCGCATCGGTCCCCCCCAACGCTTTTGGCTGCATCCCGCATTTTAAAACACTGATAGGTACCACAATACTTTTTTTCCAGTTGTCTGGCATTTTTTTTTTCTCAACATCTTGTGCCAATCTCTCCCATGCACTTCCAAACCTCTATCGGGTTGCCATCTGGTCCTAAAGCCTTTCTTATCTTTATCTTTCTCAAAGCTTCTTTCACTTCAGATTTCCTAATCCTGAGAATGTAACTACAACCTTCGCCCTTATTTATGTCAAAGGTTCCTCCTAAAGCTGTGCTCCTATGGTTTTCATTATTTAACAATATTTGAAAATAAATTGTCCACCATTTTGGATTAACTGTTATACTCTATGCAAAATGGAAGTCAATTTGCCATTGAGAACTCCTTGCCCATGCTGTAAACGAAACAGTAATTTGGATGGCAAAAGAATTCCCAAAAGTATTGGGGATTCTTGCTCAATGGAGAGGAATGGAGCTCATAAAGTGTCATTTAATGCGATGCCGACTTTATCCCTATTTGCTTCCCTAAAATTGGAACAGAAATAAGCATACATTTTTAAGTCATCACTGAATAAAGGATATTTTGGAAAGATGCAATTGCTTGAAATGATTGTTAGCATCTGGTCGAAGTGTCAAACTTCATTTAATATTCAGAGTAACATCAGAAAGGATAAATGGAATGGAATTGTCTGTCGCAAGAATGTCCCTCAATAGCTGTGAGAGGTTTTAATTTTTGACCCTGTGATACCTATTCATGCATTTCACACCTGAAATGTACCAGTGGATTCTAGCCATATCTTCCGAGCCAGTAGACTTTAACCATATGTCATCACTGCTTCTTTTTCCATTTTGAAAGATGAGCATGGGCCCACATGTTGTCCATGTTCATTGCACCTTTTGTGTTGTGCTTAGATATATCTACTAT